TTCTCTTCTCTGTCTAAGCTTTGGATTCTAAGGGATGCCTCTCATTAATTATGCTGGCACGACGCTGTCAGGCCTCCCGTTTAAATAGCTGCCAGATTTCTACATATCACTGCTGTCCTGATACTAAACTGACAATCAGAATCACAGAAAATCCTGCAAGCACTGTCTGATACACTGAGGTTGACTAATGTGCAAAGGATTTTAAAAGAAAACTACACTATTAATAAATGTGTTTCGAAGGTGATTTTCCCAGCAGAGCAAAAACCAGTATTTTTGATGCAGGAAGGGGGTGTAGAAAAGAGTTCTATTTAAAGTATTCCAATTTAACCAGCAATAATAGTTATATCTGAGAGCGAGAGCCTAAAAGAGATAAATAACACCTCTATTTTAATTGGTGCACCAGGAAATCAGAGAACCTGACTTAGGAGGCTTATCAGGGAGAAGTCAGTTTCTTTTCAACACATATTTCTCAAGAGCTTGCCAGGCCAAGACCAGTCCTAGGTCATCAGCCTTAGCTGAAATACAGAGAGCACATCAGAAGTGATGGGCAGGAACTGTCCTTATGGCCTGACTTTCTCTATTGTTCAAAAATTTTAAGAACAAATAATAAAACCTTGCATCAGATCACCAAGCAGGAGGGATGTTTCCCTGTATTTGGCCAACTGGCATGCTGAGCTCAAGATGGGAGAAAGGGGCATGAGCAAGAAAGCTGACCTGTGAAAGAGTTGAGTCTTAGGATTTTCACTATTTATGGAAGGAGTTTTGGCACGTTCGTAAAAGTAAAATAGTATAATGAAGGCTGTGCATTAGTTACTCAGTATAAGCTGTTAGATTTTGACAACTTTATGTATCCATGATAGTTTGAATATGCTTGGCCAGGGAGTGACACTATTAGGAGAGTAGGTGAGGCCTTTGTTGGAGGAAGTGTGTCACTGTAGGGGTGGGCAATAAGACCCTTCTCCTAACTATATGGGAGCCAATCTTCTAGTGGCCTTCAGAAGAGGTAGAACTCTCAGATACTGATGCATCATGCTTGCCTGGATGCTGCCATACTCCTGCCTTGATGTTAATGGACTGAACCTCTAAACCTGTAAGCCAGCCCCAATTAAATGTTGTCCTTATAAAAGTTGCCTTGGGCTGGAGAGATGGCTCAGCTGTTAAGAGCACTGACTACTTTTCCAGAGGTCCTGAGTGCAATTCCCAGCAACTACATGGTGGCTCACAACCATCTGTAATGGGATGTGACGCCCTCTTCTGGTGTGTCTAAAGACAGCTACAATGTACTCATATAAATAAAATAAATCTTTAAAAAAAAAAAAGAATTGTCTTGGTCATGGTTTCTGTTCACAGCAGTAAATCCTCACTAAGACACAGGAGTTAGGGTGGAGGGTCTGAAATAAGTAAATGCATGCTTTTACAGAACTGTGATCTTCATTATGGACAGAAATGCATGTCTTCAGAGTAACTAAATAAGACCAGTGTATCGTAATCCCTTTAACAAAATGCCAATGTATTAGTCAGGGTTCTCTAGAATCTGTTTGTCTGTCTGTCTGTCTGTCTGTCTGTCTATGGCATTGGGAATTTATTAGAATGACTTACAGGCTGTAGTACAGCTAACCCAATAGTAACTGCCAATCTAACGAAGGTCCAAGAATTCAGTAGTTGTTCATCCCATGAGGCTGGATGTCTCAGCTGGTCTTCAGTATATACTGGAAGTCTCTGCAGGGCGCCGCCTCACCGATAAGGAGAACGCCACGCTCAGGATTCTTCTGACAGCAGTTTTATTGTTACAGCTCTTTTAGATAGCAGTGTTACAGCTCTCTTAGATGGTAGTGTTACAGCTCTCTTAGATGGTAGTGAGGCGAGGGACCCCAAGCCCCAAAATCCTATGGCTTATATAGAGCTTTAGGAGATGTGCCACACACTCATTGGCTCTTATGATGTTGCCAAATTAGCATACTGGTTTTCGCGCCTTGCGCAGGCGCACATTCAAGCAAGGCTCGCAAGAAGAACCAGGAAGCAGGAAACCGGCGCCATGTTGCAATGGCGGATGCGGCTCCTAACACTGGAAGTCTCAAGAACTAGCTTTACATGCCAGAAAAGGAATTGACTTGCTGTGGAGGTGAGAGCCAGCAGACAAAGAGAAAAAGCTTTGTTCTTCCATGTCCTTATATAGGCTTCCAGGAGAAGGCTGGCCCAGATTAGAGGTAGGTTTTCACAGAGCAAAAGAGCTGAATTAAAGTTATGTTTTCCTACCTCATGGATATAGATTAGAAATACATTTTCCTGGGATCCATCCCATATACAGTCACCAAACCCAGACACTATCACGGATGCCAAGAAGTGCTTGCTGACAGGAGCCTGTTATAGCTGTCTCCTGAGAGGCTTTGCCAGAGCCTGACAAATACAGAGGCAGACGCTCACAGACAACCATTGGACTGAACACGGGGTCCCCAGTGGAGGAGTTAGAGAAAGAACTGAAGGAGTTGAAGGGATTTGCAACCCCATAGGATGAACAACAATATCAACCAACCAGACACCCCACAGCTCCCAGGGACTAAACCACCAACCAAGGAGTACACATGGAGCGACCCATGGCTCCAGCAGCATATGTAGCATTTGGCCTTCTTGGGCATCAATGAGAGGAGAGGTCCTTGGTCCTAAGAAGGCTTGATGCTCCAGTGTAAGGGAATGCCAGGGTGGGGAAGAAGGAATGGGTGAGTGGGTGGGGGAGCACCCGCATAGAACCAGGGGGAGGGGAATGGGATAGTGGGTTTTTCAGAGGAGAAACCAGGAAAGGGGATAAAATTTGAAATGTAAATAAATAAAATATTCAATAAAAGAAAAGAAAAAAAACAGAAATATATTTTCCCACTTTAAATTAAGCAAAATATCCCTCATAGTTGTACCCTTCATTTGGGAATTTAAGTTAATTCCAGATGTAGTTGACAACCAAGAATAGTCATTACTGCTAGGTACAAGATAAGTTCTCAAAGATACTAAAACTCCGTTTACTGTTATCATATACAGAAATGCACTTGCTACATAAGGGAAAGTGTGTTTTCAAGGCTCAACTCTTCCCATTCTTTCCTGCACTGGTAACATCTTTAAATAATTTGTTCTTTAAATGGGGTGTTCAAGTCCTTCTATAATAAGACCATAAAATTCTTTTCCCTTTTTATATGGCAATGTCCAAGTTATTATAGTATCCATATTAAAATATGCATTTCACATTTTAAATAGGAAGAAAAGACAGGAGCTCCATTATACTCCTTTGCTCTTGTGAATTGTGAAAACGCCTTTGATGAACAAGGAAAAACACAGGTTTTCCACACCAACATGGCAGTTGTCCGAAGTGGGTGGCAGGAACCAGATTTGTGTCTGCTAAAAGAATAGGAAGTGTTATTAATTAACTCCTGAGTCACCAGCACAACACACATGCATGTGGAGGTTACAGAACAACTTTCCACAGTGGTTCTCACAGTGGTTCTACAGATTGAACTCAGAGGATTAGAGAGTCACGCTGTGCAGCCCCAGACAGATGGCCTGAACTTCCTCTGTAGATTTGATTGACCTCTAGCTTCATTTTGGTGAAACAGTGTGTCCTGTGACTGCTGGATACAGACAGAATAGTAGGTCTTTCTAAAAGTAAGTTCATTAATTGACCTCCAACTTTTCTTAAATCAAGCTATACTGAAAAATCTTATGAAAATAAGATTCAAGGGAAAAATATATGCTAAAAAAATGAACTCTCTCTACCCACTTTTCTTTTCTTCCTCCTCCTGGAAGCACTGGAGTATTTTACAGGAAACAAAAGTGTCTGAGAAGAAGAGAACCCTTTCCTCAAGGGACCTCAGAAAGGCCCTCTGGGCTTTTTGCTCTTAGAAAGAGCAAAAATATAACTCTCTTCCATTTGGAATTCAAGCAGAGTGCAGTTTTTATTAACCAACACCTGTTTTGCTTTGTTTTCTTAACCAAAAAAGCAAATGGTTAGATTTTCCACACAAACATAGTAAAGGTGAAAGTGCAGTTTTGAGAGGGGGGGGAGAGAGAGAGAGAGAGAGAGAGAGCGCGCATATGTATATGTTAGGGTTTTTTTTAATTTACATTAGTTGTTTTGTTTTGTTTTGTTTTGTTTTTGTTTTTGTTTTTATTCTCTGGTTCAAAAGATGAAACCAAGGGCCTCAGACAGGCTGGGCAGGAACTGAAGTAACTGTTATTTTAAACTCAACATGGTTTTCCTTAAATGACCACTTCAAGAAAACTTTCAGACCATTTAAGGAAAACTAGTCTTCAGTGTTTAGCATCATGGGATTTGAAGTGGAAGGCTTAGGTTAGAGAAATAGATTCCTTGGGGCTACTGACAGGATTCAGTAGACAAGAGAGTAGACAAGAGCCGGAGCCCAGGAGCCAAGTGTGTTCTCAGCACCCACATCCAGCGGCTCACAACAATTTGTCACTCCAGCTCTGAGGGACCAAGAATTTCTTCTGATCTCACGTGCACAGATACAGAGATGAGGGAGGGGAAGGGGGAGGGGAAAGGAGATGGAGAGGGAGAGGGAGGGGGCAGGGAGAGGGAGAGGGAGGGGGAGGAAAAGGGAGAGGGAGAGGAAGAGGGAGAGGGAGGAGGGAGCTAAAAATTAGGTTAAAAAAAGAGGCCAGGCACAGTGGCACAAGCTTTTAATCCTAGTACTCTGGAGGCAAAGTAAGGTGGATCTCTGTGAGTTCAAGGCCAGTTTGGTTTACATAGTGACTTCCAAGCCAGCCAGGACTACTCGGCAGTGAGGACCTGTCTTAAAAACAATAACAACAACAACAATCATAAAAGAAAAACAGGTTCTAACCAAAAAAAAAGTCCATTTCATTCTTTCATTCATGAATTATGGGGAGAAGGTGCTTGGGATAAAACTGAGGCTTTATTAGAAAGAAGATTTTTTTTCTTTCAGAGTAAAGGTTTTCAATATGACATACTTTTTCTTTCTTTCCTTTTTCTACATTCACATCAGATGGCTATGTGCCATCAACATTATGAGGTTTGTTGGAGTCACAAGTCCCACAGTGGCACCAAACCCAATCATCACACTTATGAACCAAAAAAAGAATCTCATGGCATTTTTATACATACTTGCAACGGCAGCTTTGCTCTCATTTCTTTCCCTTCCCCACTGCCCCCTCTCTCTCCCTTGCTCCTCCATCCTCCCTGTTTGCCCTTCCTTCCTGTAGGCACCCCCCTCTTTGGCTTTATCACAAATATTTATTGAATTCCTAATCTGAACAAAGAGACTGGACTAAGTGCTGTAGGAGGAGAAAATGGTCCAAAATGTAGTAAGTATGGTTTCCATCACAGGACTCAGTATACCTCAGCAGGGGGAAGACACGGGTAAATGACATGTGGTGCTCCTAGTCCTAAAATAAATGTAAATACTGAATGAAGGAAGTGTGAGCTGTGTTTGATAATGAAAACAAAGTAAAAGCAGAATTATAAAAATTGTATAAATTAACATTATTTATATCATTGACTTTCATTTATTTATTGGGGCCAGGAAACAGACTATAAGACACTAATTCCTGATATTTCTAATGCAATGATCCTCTAATATAGCTCCCCCAGTTGTGGTGATCCCTCCAATCATTGCTATTTCATAACTGTAATTTTGCTACTGTTATGAATCATAATGTAAATAGTTTTGGTAATAGATGCTTGCTAAAGGGGTCACAGGACCCACAGGTCAAGAACTGCTGCTCTATAGAGACCCTGATTGCATTTTCCTTCTCTGTATCTGTATATCTGTAAGCCTACAATCTGGAAAGCAGAGGAAGGATTATCAGTTTGAAGCTAGTCTGGACTACATAATGAGACCTCATCTCAAAAAACACTACATGAAAATGCCACATAAATATTAGCAGAAAAATGACATCAACCGCAACAATCTCTTCAGACAGTGTGGAAGATTCTCTCTGTCAGAACTGGACTTCTGTGTAAGCCCCTTTCTACTGATGTGATCTGAGAAGCCCCAAGATGGTCATATGACTAAGCAATCACAGGCCTTTCTTCTTCCCAAGTTAAGTTTTGTATTGCAAGCAGGTAGTGTGTTTTGCTGTGACTAGTACTGTGGGTTCCCTTTTCTATCCCTCCTTCCCTTCCTTCCTTCCTTCCTTCCTTCCTTCCTTCCTTCCTTCCTTCTCTTATTCTTTTTTTTTAATTTTGTTTTGTCTTTTTATTTCAAGACAGTCTTGATAAAGCAGGATAGACACAGATTCAGGTTAAATTATGGGAAGAGAAAGTTGCTCTTTGCCTCCCGAGTCTGAGCAAGCCCCTTCAGCAGCTGAGAAGCAAGAATTTCAATAAGCAACTAATTGCTTAAGGCCTTGCTGCCTTCCCAGATGAAAACTTCACTAAAACCTGTCTTGTGCAACACAAGTGCCTTCCAGTTTTGCTTTATCAAGCTACAATTCTAAGGCACCTCTGGAGCCACCCTATAGTCTCATTATTTAAAAGGGATAGAATGGGGAGGGGGTCTTAGCAACCTTTGAGATATAACCCATTAGCCACCAAAATAGTATATATAGTCAATGCTAAGGCATTTAATGACATTCTCCTTGGAAAAGTTCATGTTCATACTTGGGGAGGTCTCATTCGTTCCCTGTTGTATCTCTATGTGTATCCCCTGTGCTTTACATTTGACCCCTGTAACCCACATGATAGAAAGACAGAATTGACTTCCGTAGGCTGTCCTGTAAACTCCATATATGAACTATAGTATATATACATGTGTTTCTTTCTCTCTTTCCCTCCCTCCCTCTCTCTCTAATGTGTTTGCACACAAACACACATACTGAATAACTTTAACAGAAAAGAAAAAGACCATCAGAATAATGAGACTCTTCCCTCTCTTCCTTTTCTGGGTGTTGTGTGGGACTATGCATTTAGCAGCCGAGCACTGACAATTCTGAATCATGTACAAGTGTACTCTTTCTCTTTTACTTTGCTCACCATTAATCATAATAAAACTTATGTTGTTGTCAATATTTCACAAATAGCAAGTATGACAAACTGGGCCTGGTGGTGCATGCCTGTAATCCTCTACTCGGGAGTAGAGACAGGAGAATCAGAAGCCCAAAGTCATTCTAAGAAACATACCAAGTTTTAGGCCAGCCTGGTATTCATGAGCTTCTGTCTCAAAAAGCTAGCAAACAATTGGACATGGTGATCTGTCCCTGGGTTCTGGTAATTGAAATAGATTAGGTTCAGCCACTCACTCATCCTCAATATGCAGGATGAAGAGCTGAGCGATGAGGAAAGGCAGAGAGATTCGATTTATCTGATGCAGCCACATTGGACAGGGTAGATAAAGGAGTCTAATGACCCAAGTCTGTCTTCAGGGCACTGGCTAGAACTTTTTTTCATTCTTTAGTTATTTTTGAGATGAGGTCTCTCTATATAACCCTGGCTATCCAGGAACTCACTTTGTAGACCAGGCTGGACTTGAACTCAGAGATATGCCTGTCTCTGCTTCTGCCAGGATTAAACCCAGCAGGATCTTTGGTTTAAATGGGGGCAAGAGATATATGAATAATTAAATGGTCCTGGTCAAGGTGTGGTCCCATTGGTTATTGCCCCAGTTGTCTTCAGGGTGGTCCAAAGTGGTTGTTGTAGATTGAGAGAACAAAGTGGTCTTCAGGAGATTATGGTTTCTACAGGGTCAGCACACTCAAGCATAATTACCATCGTGTGTGTGTGTGTGTGTGTGTGTGTGTGTGTGTGTGTTGGGGGGGGTCTGTCCCATGAGGTTTTTCTCTACTTGGAATCCAAGATAACTACAGATTTAGAACAATGATTTATGTCTGTCCCCTCTGCCTTAAAGGTGGATGAGATAAGTTAGACAAACATTCCTTGAATGATTAACATAATGACTTAAACAGTTAAGCAGATGACCCAACATAAAAGAGACAGGCACAAGTTTAAGGTACAAATCATCTTTCGTAAAGCTTTGCGTTGTTCTGTGGGTACCAAGTGAGCAGCCAATGTTTTTAGCAAAAGCAACTATCAGTAAACGACTGTTTTGACCATAGCCTCAAAACCTGCCTCCCTCAAGTCATTTATGGAATTGGTACCAGTGGATGGCGCTAGCATGTGGGCAGTCCAACAGGCTGTTTACAGAAACCTTTCACAAGAAAGCCAGAACAACAGGTGTCAAATCACCTTCTCCTCCATATTTGCTTCTTTATAGACAACATAAGCATTAGAAGGCATGCTTCCAATGAGAATAGTAAGATTGGCAGAACCTTCCCCTAATGACTAAAGATTTCAAGGGACCAATCACTGGGCGAGAAGGAGGTGGGACTTCTGGGCAGGAGACAGGAAGTGGGAAGGCAGGAGAAAGAAGCTTTCTTTTGGATGGGAGAGAACATGGAGGTACAATATAGGTAGCAGACCCGCTAGGATCTGCCACCACAGGATTTAACATAGAATAGCTTACAAAATTAGGATGCTAGTTTCTGCAACCAGCGATTGTGTTACCTGTTGATGCTAAAACTAAGATTCTGTGTGTGTTTTCCTTAACGCGGCGGCTCAACTGGGTTCCAGAGAAAGGTATGACGGCAGGTTACCCCAGCCAGCCACAGGAATTTGGAAGTGTGGGGCATGTGTGGCAACAGCCTGTCATGGGAAACTAGCTAGCCGTGTGGAGAGACTTCAGAGCTCTGAGTCAGAGAGTTTGCCAGGCTGAGAACAGGTCAGCCTGCCTGTCCTCCCGTGCCAGGCGGGTAGTAGCGAGGGATGCTTGCCATATTTCATGGAACAGAGAGATGGCTCAGCAGTTAAGAGCACATACTGTTCTTGCAGACTTTGGTTCACAGCGTCCATATCAGACCGCTCACAACTGCCTGTAACTCCACCTCAGGAGAATCTGATGCCTCCACAAACACCCCACACATGCACATGCCCACAGACAGACACACATAAACATAACTTAAAATAGTAATAATAATACATCTTAATAAATAGTAGTAATAGTGATTTTGTATGTCTAATATTTTGCAGAAATGTTCAACACCTACCTAACACCCTAGGGGAGATACTTCTACTTAATTTGTCTCAGAATAAATATCTCTGCATCTGCTATCATAAAATGTAAGCCAGAGGAGGTCAGAGAGTCACACTCCTGCTTCTGCATTTCTCATTTTGTTGTTGTTTTGTTTTTAATTTCTTTCGTCTTAAGATTTTGAGTGTGCCTAGGTACCATGTTTGAGAATGTCATGTTTTGAGTCATGGCAGAAACAACTATTACAAAGACAATGAAACTGAGCTTTGCCCAGCAATCTGGGCTAATCGGGACTTTTCCAAATGGTCTTTTTATAGCTAGCCCCAGAGACAAAGATCCAAAGTGTCTGAGGTTATCCAGTATATCTTGACTTTTGTACTATCCAACAAAATGATCTGTAACATAGACCAGTGATAAAGCCAGTAAAGTAGATCTGTGAATCCAGAAGAAAACTGCCAGCCAATGAAATTTCTCCTCCAGAGACCGTGAGACCTTCAAAGTGTTGCAACTGGGTACAGAACAAGAAGTCAGCCAGGGACATTCATTTAGGGATCTTCCTGATCATTTTTCCTTAATTTCCCTGTATCAAGGGGGAGATTACAATGGATAAAAGACCAGAAAAGCCCGACCTTCCTATGTCATACTCAGAAAGACAGCAGTGTAGAAGCTAAAATGTCAGAGGCCACTGAGTTATATATAGCCAAAATTTAAAAGAATAAAGTGCAAGAACATAAAAACTAAAATATATCTTTCTACTCCAGGAAAACTTAAGGATGCAAAACTACACTCACAGATACTTTGGAATCTCAGGGGACTTAATGAAAATTAATAGTGCTTAATGTCTACAGGCGCAGAAACAACTGTCTTAGGTTTTAACAAGGAGTCAGGCAGGTGCTAATGCTAAATGCACAGCATAGACTGACAGTTTGAATGAGAATGACCCCCACAGGCTCATATGTTTGAATACTTGGTCCACAGTTGGTGGAGCTCTTTGGGAATATTAGAAGGTGTGGCTTTGTTGGAGGAGGTGTGTCACTGGAGTCAGGCTTGGAGGTTTCAAAAGCCCGTGCCATTCCCACTTAGCTCTTTTGCTTTGTGATTGTGGACCAAAATGTAAGTTCTAAGCTATTGCTTAAGTTCCCTTGGTCATGGTATATTGTCAATGTTGAGGTCTGTGCCCCCAGCATAGCTGTAGCCATTTTGTTCCATGTCTGCCAACACCGGAAAATAACTTGACTCAGAGCAGAGTCATGCTGACCACATAACCTGTTATGTTTTGTATGTAATGAGGCTTCTTAATCTTAAAAAATTTCACAACTGTAAGCTTCAGGTAGGACCCATCAAATTAAAGGTCAAAATGAACTGTTATATTTAAAATGGCTAGAGTCAGGGCTGACCACTGGGCATTACTTCCAGCACTTATATATGAGCTCACTGTGGTTTTTTATGGTTGTAGCCTTTATAAGCTGACATAGAAAAATGTTCAGGGCCATAGCCTCAGCTCCCAAATTCTAAGCTATGGCTCTCTAATCAATCAGTCTTAGGGTGTATGTTCAATAAACCATCCCTGTCTGACTAAGACCACTGTTCATGTGGTTTCTGAGGTGACTCTTGGGCCCAAACAGTCAACGTAATAAGAAAGTAACAAGATAGACTTCTATAGTATGCATTCTATCTGAAGTCAGTTCTCTGGGCCTGCTAGGTCTGACTTTCTTGGCATCAATTTTTTTTTGTTTTGTTTTTAAATTCTTCTTGGCTGGGCATGGTAGCACTTAGGAGGCAGAAGCAGAGGCAGGTAGATCTGAGTTCAAAGCTAGCTAAGTCTACATACTTAGTTCCAGGCCATGTGAGTTCCAGTGAGGGCCATGTAATAAGACTCTATCAAAACCACAAAACAAACAAACCCCCCCCCTTTTTATATAGATTTTTGAGGATGTTAGCCACTCTAGTTGGCATTGCAAACCTGGAATAGTGTGGCCTAAACATGAGGCAAACCAAAATCTCATGCAATAGCCAGATTTATTCAGAGCATCAGACAATTTATACTCTGAGGGTTAAGAAGAGTCACCTGAGTAAAGTTTACAATCACAGGGACATGTGGCAAAAACATGTTTTTCCAAAGAGGCACATAAACAAGTAACAATATTCCAGCTGTGATGAATACTCTGGAGTAAGCTCACTCCTGTCTGCTATGCCTGGGAGGAGCACAAAAGCACATTCCAAAAATGATTTTGTGTTTTTGAAGAAACTTAGGTCACAAGACTCTTGTTTTCTTGGAGATTTCTCACATGCATTCAGAATCCCCTTTGAAGAATTCCCCATTGTTAGACCAGTCCCAACAGTTAGGAAAATATTGCTGGCCTTGTGAAAGAGGGTTACATTGTCAGGAAGGTTTTACTCATTAAAGTGGTTTGGGGGTGTTTTTGCTTTTGCTATTTCTGATTTTTAGGTAAACTCTCATATTAATTAGGTCAAACTGGTCTTGAATTCAGTCAGAATCAAGGCTATCCTTGAACTCCTTACCTTCTACTCTCTACTTACCAAGTGCTGGATTACAGGTGCGTGCCACTACTCCAACTTTACTATCAAGGCAGTTTACTCTCTCATGTAACTAGGAGTTGGAAGACAGGGTAGCTAGAGATTTGGTGAGTTCAGGAGCTCAGTGATGTCTTAAAGATCCTTTCTGATCTCTGTGCTGCCATCCTCATCTTTATCTTAAGAGCAATCCTCTTAACAACAGGATGAAAGTAGCTGTATTTGTTACAAGGAATGGTGGCCATACCTCTTGGATCAGTGGTCCTAACTCAGCAGTAACTAGAAAGATGCTTGGACAAAATAAAAAAAAAAAGAAAGAAAGATGCTTGGAGAAAAAGTGACCTCAGAAAGGAAAAAAAAAGTTTTTTAAATTTCTTTATTATAAAGTTGATAAAACTGAAAAATAAATGTTAAATATGGCTGCCCCAAATAACTAATATAATCATCAATACTTAAACTTTCTCTTCAGACATTAGCACTATAGGGCTAGGAATACAGCTCAGTAATGGTGCTGCCAGACCAGAGTGCCTGAGTTCAATCCCTGGCACTAGGGAGTGGGGAGAAAGAAGAAAAAGACAAAATATTAGTTCTACATATATACATTCTTCTTCCTGGTAACTTTTTACAGTGTGTCATTCTTTCTAAAAGTATATTACATCGATCATAATTCATTCAAATTGATTCTGATGTTAGCATTGGTTCTAAGTACCACGAGGCTTGGATTTTGATTGCCTGAGGGAATTTCTATTTTGACTCAATGAAAAGTGCTCACACAGTTCCAGTCACTTCATCCTTTCCTCCGAAAATGTAAGCGGCTCACAAATTCTCTGAGTTTCAGAACTAAAGAGTAGTTGCTGATGCTGTCCTTGCAGTTTCCATAAGCCCTGCATAGGCTGTCATAATAACCTTCTTTGGTGGAGCTGAGACCCGGTCCAGTTGTTTTTAAATCATTGTCCTTTGTCCATCTTTCTCTCCAGGAATCTTTCAGTTTTCTAAAATAACTTTCTTTTTCAGACTCTTCCTTCCATATTCCTTCTCCTTTCTTTAAGGCCGTCAATTCAGCTTTAAGTAACTTTCTGTGAATTTTCCAGTGGGTTTTTGAGTCGTAATTTAACCCTTTAACAAGGACAGTTTTGCCCAAGCCTCTTCTCAATATCTCCTCATTCAGATTCACGTTAAAATATCCACCCTTGAATAAAATGGAGGAAACTGATTACTTAGGAAGTGACTATTGTGGTTATTATATCCATAATATCTTATTTACCTTAAAATGCAGCAAGTTTATTTTTTTTAGAGACAGCAAGAAAGAAAAAAACAAAACAACAACAACAAAACCCACCACCACCACTACCATAAACAACATCAACCAAAAAACCTGTAACACAAAGGGTTGAGTTTGATAGCACATGTTTGTAGTCCGAGTATTTGTGAGGCTGAGGCAGGAGGGTTACTTACTTACTCAAGTCCAGACTGAACTACTAAATAAGAGATGCTGTTTCAAACAAAACAGTTACAACAATAACATAGGACGTGGAGATACCCAGCATCCATGCAGAAAGCTAGGCATGGCAGTTTAGGCTCTTAACCCTAGTGCTAGGAGGCAGAGACAGGTGAGTCAGTCCCTGGATGTCACTGGCCAGCCAGCTGAGAGGTGAGTAGGTGATCTCTAGGTTCAGAGAGAGAAGGGAAACATGCAGGGGTAATGAGGAAAACGCCTGACATCAAACACTGGCCTTCACACATGAACACACGAGAGTGCACATCTGTATACACATGAACCTCGCCTACACACATACACACAACAACAACAACAAAAGGGTTGAAGACCTTAAATCAGCTATTGCTAAATTGAAACATTTTTAAAGATTTATTTATTTTATGTATGTGAGTACATTGTAGCTATCTTCAGACACATCAGAAGAGGGCATTGGATCCCATTACAGATGGTTGTGAGTCACCATGTGGTTGTTGCGAACTGAACTCAGGACCTCTGGAAGAGCAGCCAGTGCTCTTATCTGCTTAACCATCTCTCCAGCCCAAGATTTTATTTCTTGATATACTACATTCATGCAAGCCTCACTCAAAGTCAATTGATTCTCTTTAATTGATCTCTAATGCAAGTAAGTATTGAAATGATAAGGAATAAAATGCTATTAACTCTCTTGGCTATGTAGAGAGAAAAATGGAGCACAGGATTTGCACAGTGAGAGCTCACAGCAAAATAGACTAAAAACTGATTGGTGAACAAGTCATAATGAACTGGGACCTAAAAGTCCAAGGGTTTGGGGTCCTGGCAGGTGGTTTTCTTGTTAATTTTTTTTAATGTGTAAACAGTGTCTTGCCCTCTTGTATGCCTGGGCATCACTTTCATGCCTGGTGCCTACAGAAGCCAGAAGAAGGCATCAGATCCCTTGGAACCACTTATAGCTGTAAGCCTCGACTTGAGGGCTGTGTCCTCTACAACAGTAGCCATCATTCTTAACTGTTGAGGAATTTCTCCACCCCCAGGTATGTACATTTTAAAAATACCTACTCCACATAATTTTTGAATTTTTACCTTGAAATTTTCATTTCTGGAATCTCTTACTTGTAATCAAATCAATAAATGACTCCCCCCTGTTAAGGTAACTTATCCTCTTGTGGTAATTGTCATCTGGAGGCTTACTGCCTCTGTCTGCTAACCTAGGCCTACTCCTGGAAGCTTCTAGCCTCCATATAATCTTATCTAGGCCTAGAATGTTTTCAGCCTTTGAGACTAACTGCTGAATAACCTCACCTTTTCTTGTTCTTTCTGAATTCTGGCTGGCTGGTTCAACTCAGCTGTTCTGGCTCAAACTCCTCTCCAAACTGACTGATTCAATCTGGCTTCTTTCTCTCTTGGCCTTTGACTTTTTGTTCTGCTTGACCTCAAACCTGTGTCTAGCTGGTTCTTTCTCTGAAACCTGTCTCTGTACAACTGTCTGAGTAACCGCCCCCCCCCCCATTCTCTCTGCACTGCTCTAAGCAGCTTCCCTTTCCTCTCTCTTCTCCTGACAGTTTGGCATATCCTAATCTGTCAAATCTTACTCTGATTTGCCACTATGTCAGTCAGCTAATTAGACATCATGGATGTTTCCTTCTACAAACTAACTTTACCTTCATTATTTGGGATTACAGTGTATACTAAGGGTGTGTCTGTATTCCAGCCAAAGGAATTAAAAGTGTGTGCTGAGATAAATTACAACTAGAAACAGGTTTTTCTAGTAAACAGAATCTTGTGGTTCACAGGGTGACCAAATATCCTTTAATTCATAGGAATTCATAGGAATAAAGCAGACCCTGTTTTATTCTAACAAAGCTAATTAAAATCAAGTATTGATAGCTTCATTTTAAAGTAAGTCACAGGGATGGAGAGGTGGCTAAGGATGTTAAGAGTGTTTGCTGATCTTGCAGAGGACTGGAGTTCGGCTCCTAACACCTACATAGAGAAGTTCAGAACTGTGTGTATCTCCAGCTATAGGAAATCCAACACCCTCTTTTGGTGTCTGTCAGGTGTATACACACACATGTGCATATGCACATGTAGACATACATATACATAAAAACAAATACTAAGAAAGCAAAACATAACAAGACAAGAGCTTCCTTCACTATCATGTGAACTGGAGTTGGATTCTAACACCCATGTGACAGTGTTCCGCATATACTTATAACTCCAATGCAGAAGGATTCTATGCCCTCTTGCAGCAGGCTCATCCATGTGCATGCAAGTACACACACACACAAACACAAATGCACACGCACTTACACTCAAGTGCACATAATCTCAAGCAGACAGATGCAGAAACACACATTCACACACGAACACATACACATTTTTAAAAAGTCAATCACACTGGGCAGTGGTGGCGCACACCTTTAATCCCAGCACTTGGGAGGTAGAGGCAGGCGGATTTCTGAGTTCGAGGCCAGCCTGGTCTACAGAGTGAGCTCCAGGACAGCCAAGGCTACACAGAGAAACCCTGTCTTGAAAAAAAAAAAAAAAGTCACAATTAATGTGAAGTTAATCTATAATGTCAAATTCTATAATGTCAAACTTCCTGGCTTAAACAAGGAAATATTTTTCTAAGATTCTACAAAACTAAGTAATCCTGAGGGGGTGGGGGGAAGGCTTTAATACAAAATTAAAAAGAAAACATTATTTCTCTAAGCACAGTAAATTTGAGTTCATTACAACAAAAGACTTATGCACGGTTTATTATATGTGTCTCAGTTTTAAACATTTTAAATGCTCATTTCCTTGAGCCAAAGCAAACAACTAAATTTCAGTCTCACACACTAGTAGAACTCAAGCCGGAGACGTAACTGAATCACTCGATGCACACAGCGTGCTAGTGCACACGGGAAACCTGTAAGGATGTGGAGTGAAGGTAGCTTCCGAGCAGGAAGAACTCTCCCTCTGGCTAGTCAGGGCAAGACAGTCATCACTCCTGAGAGTCCTCCCTGTAATTGAGACCAGCAACCCCACAGGATAGTTTCGGTATATATGAAGTAACATGTGTATGGCATTTACTTTTACAGCTTCTGTGTGTGGATAGATACACAGGATATTGGAGCAGATGGAACAGTATTTACCGGTGGAAACATCCTTGTTCTTTGTAGAAGACTTTGTTCCAGTTGCCAAGCTACACTTCTGAAATGACTTCAAGTAACGATGTAATAGCTCATACTAATGTAAATATGTACAGTGATCCTTTATTTAGCAATGGGCAAAATCATTAATAATTTGAAAGTTTTTCTCCTTTCTTTATAACTTTCTTTTTATGTCTTATCTATCTATCTATCTATCTATCTATCTATCTATCTATCTATCTATCTATTTTTGAGACAGGGTTTCTCTGTGTAGCCCTGGCTATGCTGGGACTTGCTATGTAGACCAGGCTGGCCTCAAACTCACAGAGATCCACCTTCGTTTGCCTCCAGGGTGCTGAGATTAAAGGTCTGCATCACCACCACCCAGCTATTTTTATTATTTTTTAATCAACATGTATTTGTATTTTATGTGTACAAGTCTTTCCTTGTATGTGTGTATATGTACACCATGTATGCCTAGTGTTCTCATAGGCCAGAAGAAGACATGAGATCCCTGGAACTTTAGTTACAGACCTTTGTAAGCTACCATGTGGGTGTTGGGAACCAAACCTATGTCTTCTACAAAGGTAGTGTTCTTAACCAGTGAGTCTTCCCTCCAGCCCTATCTTTTTAGTTATTTAATTTAAAAAACATTTATTTTTACTATTTTTATTTATGTATGTATGCATGTACCTGAAGAGCCTGAGGAGTTTGCTCCTGTGGGGCTGAAGTTACATGTGCTTGTCAGCTGCTTGATATGGGTGCTGGGAATCAAGCTCACATCCTTTACAAGAACAATATGAGTTCTTAAGCACTTACGCTATCTTTTCAACCATCCTCAGGCCTTAGTTTTTAAGTTTTAACATTAAGTCAATATTTGTGTGTCAATGCGCATGAATGAGTACAGTGCCCATAGAGGCCAGAAGAGGGAATTGGATCTTCTGGAACTAGACTTACAAGTGGCTGTCAGTTGCCTAAAGTGGTTGTTAGGAATTGAACCCAAGTCCTCTGGAAGACCAGCAAGAGCTCTTAATTGCTTGAGCCACCTCTCCAGCTCCTTTAGAAGTCCTAGCTGACTAAAATAAATATCTATAAATTTTATAACCATGACTAGCAGTTTGAAAAGTTCATTATAGATTCAAAATGTTAATGAAATGTTTACTTATGTTAAGAATAAAAGATGCTCAGTCATTTCTTCACACTTCTTACCTTGTTCACTAAAAGGTAGCAAAAGAGTGCTGAGTTCTCCTTTCCAAGGAGCTGGAACCATAGCAGCTGGGAGGGTTTCAGCTCCTTCTGTAACCACACCTTACCACTTTCAGTGAGTTCTACTCCAGCCAGTTTAACCAGCAGAACTCCACATGGTTCTCCTAAGAAAGTAATATAGAACATTGTAGTTATTTATAAATACTCAAGCTTTAAACTTAGGACTACTTATTTTTATAAAATTTCTTTTAAAATAATACAAGTATAGGCAGCCTTTAATCCCAATCCTCAGGAAGCACAGGCACATGGATCTTTGTGAGTTTGAGGCCAGCCTGGTCTACTTAAGGAGTTCAGGACCAGGCAGGGCTTCCCTTTACTAAAACAAAGACAGAAAGAAAAAACAAACAACAACAACAAAACCCCAAAATCCAAACAAAAACCCTCATGTGAGTATAGAACAGAATAGTTTTAAAACTCATTTGATTATGCTTCATAACAGAAAAGATTTAGCCAAGTTCACCTTTTGTAACATCTCAATATGCATATATGTTTCTATGAATATATGAACAATACAGCTTAATGATAGGTTTCCGGTACAAGGAAAACTGCAGGAATTGCCTTCTTGTTTCAATAAACTTGTTAACTAGGTGTTTGTTTGTTTGTTTGTTTGAGACAAGGTTTGATTTTTTGATTATGTGTATCTGTGTGAACATATTCTGCATGCATGTGTGAGGGTGGTCATGAAAACCAGAAGGAGGCATTAGATTCCTGTAGCCAGAGTTACAGGCAGCTGTGAGCTTTTCAACATGGGTCCTGGAAACCAAACTCAGGTCCTCTGCAACAGCAAGACACTCTCTTAACCCCTGAGCCATAGCCCAATTATTACTTCAAAATAAAAATAAAAACATTTTGCACAACTGACTTCCAAACAAGACTTTACCAATTCATAATCAAGACAACATAATATGAAGATATATACTACTCAAATCCTTGAAAATACTTTATCAACTTTAATAATTATTTATAAACTATTTTTTCAGGAGACAGTCTCACTCTTCTGTTGTCCAGGCTAGTCAAGTATTCTCCTAGGCGCAAGTGACCTGCTACTTGATTGTGGAACTGTGACTGCAAAACACTCTGACTAGTTTGGGATATTACTTCAGAAAAATGTTTATAACTTTACACAAAGGGATAAAAAACTAATGTCTAAGGAAGGGAGGGCTGGTGAGATGGCTCAGTAGTTGCTATAGTTTGAATATAAGTGTCCCACATAGGCTCATGATTTCAACACTTAGTTTCCAGCTATTAGTACTATCGGGCAAGGTGTTGAAACATCAATGAGATAGACTTACTGGAGGAAGTACATCACTGTGTAGACCTTGAGATTTATAGCCTGGTCCAACTTCCTGGTTTCTCTCTCTACTTCCTGAGTGCTGATATAAGGTGACCAGTTAGCTCATGCTCTGGTCATGTGATGATTGACAAAGAAAAGGGTGTGGTCAGCATAATGATTTTGGACAAGGAGAGTGCAGACAACAAAGCAGCTGTTAGAGATGAGTGTGGTACAGAGAACCTCCATGCTCTGCCCTGAGATAGTAAGACAGGTTCTCTAAGGACAATAACCCACCAATCAAAGAACCCAATCCATGAAAATGCAAATTCATTTCAAAAGAAAAAGTCTAAACTCAGAATGCCAGAGGTTTCTAGCTTCTGGAAAGCAATCACCTAGAGAAATGTTTTCCCAGGGTCGGTACATGGTACTGAGACAACTGTGGTCCAAGGTGGGTGGCCAACATCTTGATGTGGCTCCAGAATGTGGCAATGTTATAAATATCTCCCACATGGTACTACTATTTTTCAAGGAATAAATGATGAGGGAGTTGTGAAGAATGGCTAATGTCAGCCACTTTGTGGCAGGGTTAGAGACAGAGCAGAAAGGTACCAACAGGCTGCTGTGCAGCCTCAGTTGAAATGGAGACTCCAGGAGATTTAAGACAAGAGTACCATAAGTCATCCAACAGGGAGGGCTGCAGTCTTGGAGGAGTAGATCTAGCCTAAGCTTAAGATAGAAGCTGTATGTGCTGTAGGTGGCAGGGTTGGAAGAGTAGGACTTTTGAACTTTGTTGATTACATTACATGTCCCAGACAGTGGACATGGAGCTGTTGAATTTGGTGTTTTCCTTATCCCTGCTAGAGTTTGGTTTTTATACCTTAATTCTTTCCCTTGAATAGACATGTTTACTCTCTGCTATTGTGTGGTAGAATAATTTATTTGTAAATGTGTGTGTGCTCTGAGACAGGGCATGTGGCCCTGGCTAACTTGGAACTCTCTATGTAGACCAGGCTGGACTTGAACTCACAGAGATCACCTGTCTGCCTCCTGAGTGCTCTCTCTGCCTCCTGAGTGCTCAGATTAAAGACATGTGCCCCCAGGGCAAGCTAGTAATTTGTTTTGTTTTTTCTTTTTACAGGTCTCATTTAATAGATGACTTGAGTTTTAGAAGAGACTTTGGACTTTGAATTTCTGAACACTGTTGAGACTACTAAAGACTATAAGAATGTTAGAAGTTGGAAGAAATGCATTTTGCATCATGAAACAGTCACACTTATAGGGCCAGTGGTGGGATGCTCTGGTCTGAATGTGAAATGTTTCCCATAGGCTCATGTGTTTGAAGACTTGGTGCCCAGCAGACAACTTTAGAACCTTTAGGAGGTGGACACAGGCTGGAAGACTGAGCCACTGGGGGTGGGCCTTCAGGCTTCCTTGTTGGTTGATTTGTTTGTGTGCCTGTTTTTTGAGACAGGGTTTCTCTGTAGCCCTGGCTGTCTGAAACTTGATATGTAGACAAGAGCTCCATCTGCTTCTGTCTAATGAGTGCTGGGATTAAAGGCCTGCATCCACCATGACCAACTGGGCTTTAAAATTTTAAAGCCAGGTCTCACTTTCCATGTTCTCTTTGCTTTTTGACAGTTGATGTAACATGACTGGCTAGGGAGCATCACACTTCGGCTGCCATGCCTTCTCCACCAAGATGAACTGTATCCTGTTGGAACTGGAATCAAAAACAAGCCTTCCTCCTTTAAGCTTCTTTGGTCAGGTATCTTTGTCTCAAGAACATATAAAGCAACCAAGGGGGCAAGTAATAGTGCTTGCTGTAAGGCTGACAACCTGAGTTCTATTTCCAGAACAGTGAAAAGAGACAGCCAGCACATGCCCCACCCCCAACACACACACACACATACAGAGAGAGAGAGTGAGAGAGAGAGAGACAGAGAGAGACAGAGAGAGACAGAGAGAGACAGAGAGAGAGAGAGAGAGAGAGAGAGAGAGAGAGAGAGAGAGTGTGTTAAAGAAATTATATACTTAGAATATAGAGAGAGTTTACAAAGAAGTTAAAAAACATAAATTTAATTTCATCTATTTCTAGGTAAAAAAAAAAAAAAAATTGTCTCAAAAAGATGTCCTGCCAGGCAGTGGTGGCGCACGCCTTTAATCCCAGCACTTGGGAGGCAGAGGCAGGCGGATTTCTGAGTTCGAGGACAGCCTGGTCTACAGAGTGAATTCCAGGACATCCAGGGCTACACAGAGAAACCCTGTCTTGCATTGGGACGGGTATGGCCCTCATGCCTCACTGGACAACGACAGGGGGACTGGAGCCATTACAAGGTCCCCTTCAATTACTGGAGGTCAGGCCTCTATCCCTGCCTTCGCAAGATTAGATTCACCACAGCCCTTCTATACTTAGAGAAGGAAGGAGATGTCAGGGGCCAGCACTGCTTATACACTGAAGGCCTAAAATCAGCCATAGGTCTAAAATCAGCAATAGGCCTGTCATACATGTATACTAACACCAAGTCTTGGGTCTCTGTGGAAAAACATTGAAACAGATGGCTATAAGCTATTGTAAACAGGCAGCTTTTATGACAGTTTACCAGCCTGAGTAGTCATAGACCTTGTAAATAGGTAGCCTTGGCAGACAATACCAACTTAGATAAGGACAAGAGGAATCATAGGCAGAGTCATAGTAACTTGTCCCCTGAACCTTCACCCAGCTGATACCCTGTTCTGAAAGATATCTGTATTCCCCCTGAACACTCACGCTCCAGTGTCATCCCCTTCCCCACGTCCTGCCTTTTTGTGTTTATAACCCCTGTGTGAATGAGTATAAATTACAATTTGAAAAAAGTAAATTATATATATATTTATATATGAGAAACCCTGTCTTGAAAAACCAAAAAAAAAAAAAAAAAAAACTGTCCTAAGTGCTAGTGGGATGTCTCCAGGATAAAGGCACTTGCTGCCAAGCCTGACTTAAGTTTGAGCCTCAAGACCCACATGGTAGAAAGAAAAAATTGTGTTTTCTTCTGACCTCCATACCTATCCTGTGGCACATACCTCCTATACACACATACACACACACAAATAAATAAATTTGAAAGTGTAGTTTAAAAACAGTTTTAGACAAGGTCTCACTGTGTTTCTCTGATCAGCCTAGACCTCTCATATAGACCAGGCTGGCCTTAAACTTAAAGAGATCCTCCTGCCTCTAGTTCCTGACTGCTGAGATTTAAGGCATGCACCACTTCACCTAGCAATGTGGTTTTGTTGTTTGTTTTTTAATAAAAGATGTTCTAAAACTCAGTTATGCTGATAACAATAAACATTTTCCTTCATACTTGGGTTTCTTAAAATCTGTCCACTGACTTTCAGGTGAAGAAGCAACAGTGAGCAGGTAAACTGTGTCCTTAGCAAAAAGTATTCGATACCAAGTAATATGTAATTAGATTAAGACAGAACATACAACACAGATTAGATCATGTTGTGGGGAAGGTAGTACATGCCTGTAATCCCAACACTTACAAGGCATAGCCAGAAGTATTGATGGCTCAAGGCCAGCCTGGGCTATACTGCAAGATTTTACCTCACAAAACATAAATAAATTTTACAAATTAGATGACTTCAACCCATTGGTATACCAATAAATTCTGAGGGCCCTTCTAATGTTTGAAGTTTCCAGTATCACCAATTGTCCAATAAAAGCTTCTATGCTATGGTCTGTGAGACCAAAGGGTAGGTAACTGAAAACATGAAGTGGATGGTCCGAATCTAACTCAACACAATCAACTTTAGTATTAGTGTGCCAGTGCTTCACATAATAAAGGCCACTGGTTTTTTTTTTAATGATTAAATTTCTTATTGCACACTCAAAGTATGATACAGTCAATAAAAATAAAGTCATTATGACTGAATAAACCATCCATAACAAATGCATGATTAGGAGAAAGTCAAAAGATTTTCACCAAAACCTTTGAATATTTTTGGAAATGTAAATGTTACCTTCAAAAGCCTGTAATTTTTGGCTGGGCATTGCCTACAACCTGCGGAGGCAAGACTGTCACATGTTCCAGGCCACCTTGGTGTACATAAGGCCAGCCAGGCCTATATAGTGAGAACTTGTCTCAAAGCAATAGCAAAAAAACCATTATTCCTATATTTAAAAAATGATTAAATTTATTTATTATGTGTGTGAGCAGGTACATGCATTGCCACAGCACACATACAGACATGACAGGACAACATGTGGCAGTCAGTGCTTTCCTTTTATCATGTGACCTCAAAGATTAAACTCAGGTCTTCAGTATGGCGGCAAATACCTTTACATGCTGAGTTACCTTACTAGCCCTCCCTGTCTATCTATTTGGGTTTTTTAGTTATTACATTTATTCACTTATTTATTTATTTATTTATTTATTTATTTATTTATTTATTGTGTGTGTGTGTGTGTGTGTGCACGCACATGCACATGGAAGTCAGAGTATAACTTGTGGAGTTATCTCTTTCCTACCATGTGGGTCCTTGAGACTGTACTCAACTAGAAAGGTTTGGAAGGCAGCTCCTTAGCGTGCTGAGCCATGTTGCCTACCCATGATCTCTAATCTCTAATTATTTTTAGATTTGTTTCTGTGATATGAATCTTTTTACCTTTCTAGTTCTTCAATAAGTCTTTTTAAAATTTTAAGATTAATGTGTATGGATGTTCTGTCTGTATGTGTATATGTGCACCCATCCTTGGAGGTCAGAAGAGGGAATTGGATCCCCTGGAACTGGCATTATAGATGGCTGTGAGCCATCATGACCACTGCTGAGATGCCCTAAGTATCACTCCAGCCTCCTTAACAAATCTTGCATGACAGTGGTAGTTGTGTTCTAACATAATAGTTATAATAGCCATTTTATGGTATAATAGTCTTTATAGCTGTTATAACTTAATAGTGGATGATAGCTGTGTTAGAATATAATAATCGTGATAGTTGTTATGACATACCGGTCATGATAGCCATGATATGACAAAATAGTGCTGGAAATTGAACACAGGTCTTCAGGCAGAGCACCAACTATTCTAAACCACTAACTCTTCTCTCCAGTCAGTCTCCTTCAATAAATCTTGCATAGAAAAAAAATTTAAAAGTCCAATCCACATTGAATGATATTAGATATTAGATAGATAGAGATACTAGAAGGTAGCAGAAGAGTAACATGGCTCTAGTAGAGAAGGCTAAGAATACTCTGCCAAAAAGATAGGACTTGAGTTTTACAGATGAACACAAAATCAGGGAAGGGAGAAAGTATGTCAAATGAGGGCAAGAATATGGGCAACTGGGTCCAGAGAATGACACAGAATGGCACTGTCTCAGTGATAAATACCATCACCAAGGAGTCTGCTTCATCACCAAACTCTTGTTTGTTCTTGGTTTATTTGTTTTGAAATAGCACCACCCTACAAATCCCTGTGGTCATGAGACTGCATCTACAGGAGGAATGTGTGTGTGTATGGGCTCTTTAATATGACGCAGGGTTAAATGATAATACACGTAGAAAAACAATGTGGCTCTTACTGCGCATCTAGTCTCCTGGGGCTCCTTTCAACCTTTCTTAGCTATGTTTCAGCTACAGGAGGCTTCATATAAACTGCCAAAAGCTGTGGGCTCATTCCTCCCTATGGTCTTCCAGGCTAGCCCACTCATATGTTCAGGTCTCTGATTATATAAAACTCCTCAACGAGGCCTTCTCTGACTACTGTATATGAGCGTATTTCCTTAACCCTATCACACCCGAGTAATTGTGTATGCTAGGACTCTGTCTTCATTGATATTAGGACAAATTTTCACGTGTCTGTTATCAATCTTCCACAGGGATTGTAAGCTACAAGAGTTAGAAGGGCTGTGCTTGTTTAATTCAGCATCATACACAGTTAGGTCTTAGGCTATAACAGATTGTTATCATTAGGGGAGGAGCAGCCTACCACCTAAATGAAAGACTGATCAGTCAACTAAAGCAAAGGACAGAACTCTAGTGCCAAAATAAATAATGTCTTGTAAATAGACCATGGTTCTGAATTTCATAGACTATGGGAAGTAATCAGAATGAGAATATTTTTGCTACTTTATAAATAGCATCTAGTTATTAAATGCCATAATAATCACTACAGTGGTTGTTCAGTTTTACAATTCTCATTTCTTACTTACGTTTCCATGAAGATATGAAAGGTAAAGTAATAGGTACATGTTCAATTTCTAGACCACACTCAGTTATCCGCTGTAGTCGGCCACGTAGTTTAACTTTCTTTCTTATAAATTCTGCTGGAATATCTGAAGGGGTTGTAAATTTTGATGTCTGTTGATTTACAAAGAAGAAGAAGTAATTTTCACTAAAAATGAAAATAAAATGTGAAGATATCTAAACGCTTAACAAGAAGGCACAGCCATTGAAAAGTTTTAACTCGGTTCTTAATTTGACATTAACACTTTAATATTTAGTCAATAGGGTCTGGAGAGATGGCTCAGCAGTTAAGCGTGCTTGATGCCCTTGCAATGGATGTGTACATTTCCACATGGTACAGTTTCCAGTACCAAGTTCCAGACACTCTCTTCTGGCATCTGGCACACATAAACTCACACATGCACAAAACATATACACATAAAAATAGTAAATAACTTTAAAAACGTTTATAGAGACTTAAAGTTTACTACTCGTTCATTTCTATGTCAAGCTACATAGAAAGAGATGGCAAGTGTAAACCCTGAGCAAAGCTGTGTCAAGTTAAATGATTCCTATTTTTATTTTTAAAAATCATGTAGGAGACAAAGCAAATCCTGTTGACAAAGGTCAACACTGAAAATTTACTTCCCCAACAACTACTTGGTACCTAGGGTTAGTAGCTATTTTATACAGCAAGCAGCACACACCATGGCTAGCTCAGAATGTTACATAACACTGGACTTGTTTAGTTTTTACCAGGAAAAATTATTTGATGCTATAGCATATCTTCTTTGTAAGGGAGAAGAGCTTTATCTAAATGTTGGGAGAATTTCCAGTCATCTCTCAACCAGAATTGAATTGAATTTTTTAAAATTTCTGTTTAGTGATGTGTGTGTGTTTGTGTGTGTGTGTGTGTGTAGTATGTTCTCTTCTACCTTCACGTAGGTTCTGGGATCAAATTCTGGTCTCCAAGGCTTTACCTACTGAGCCATCTCAAAGCCCCAGAACTTAATTTTAATTGGGATTCAGAAGGACCATTCTGAATTGGGGGGGGGGACATACATAAAGTACTTATGTGTATTTTGTTTTCAAATATCATCAACACAAACATCATAAAGATAGCCCACATTCTTAAGATGTGAGATATATATATATATGCAATTATAAATCTTCCCGGATGGATCCACGCAGCCTGGAGTGAGACCAGCCGTCCGTTGCCTGCCCCACTGGTGACTCACCAGCCGAAGGCTCCTTGTTAGTACTATTATCCCAGCTATGGCCATTCCAGTGCTGATATTCTACAGGAAGAGATTTAATGATTAATTCTCACCACTTATCATTTGCAATAGTCAGAGTACTAACTAAAATGAAGGAGAATGCCCTCGTGACCACTAACAGTTCAAATAACACCGATGCCTCACACAGTGGCTGACTCTTCCAAACCCATTCCTTCCTAGTTCTTCCTTAGCAATCTGGCACACACAGGGATTGGAGTGAATGATTTTACCTTGTCTGTGGATTTTTTGAATGCACCCACGGCCTAGCATGTCTAGCCTTATACCCATGGTGAACTATGTACTTAGTAGAAAACCTTAAAATACAGCATCATGACAAATATATTTGGTAGGTGTGTGTAAATGGTTGAACAGTAATATGAGTAGAGTAAGTAACAATACACGTATTTATTTGGCACCTACTACTACTAACTGGCAGATACTAGTCTGCTCTGAGTATGGTGCTACAATGGCATGTCAGCAGGCATGATGGCTTGGACCTCATGCTGCCTAGCTGTAAAGCCTTTGCAAAGTTCAACTTCCTCCAATTCGCTGCAGAATTCTTAAAAGTTGTTGTTCCTTCCAGATGCATTATCCTTGCTTTTGGCTACCCATCTTTCTTAATGATCTGTCTCCCTGTCTGCCTCAGAGTTTGCTTCTGCTGCTTTCCACTCCCCAGAGAATCCCCTAGGCCCCATTTCTAGAACGTCTTCTGTACCTTTCTGCAGTTTTTTTCAAGATGTCGGTCAAGACCAGGGCTTTACTCACTCTGCCAGGTTTATGCAGCTCATTCTCAGCTTTATGTCCAGTTCTGATTTCCCTTGGACACTAAACTACGCTCTGTTGCCTCAAACTTACACTGTGCTTTAAAGTCTGATGGTCTGTCTTCAAGATCAGTCTCCAAATTTTAATGTCCAAGAGCTCTACAGCTTTTCCCAATAAATCATTTGCTAAGGGTGCTCCAATGTCAGGAACCATCGCCACCATCAACCCAGGGACGCCTCCCTCCTCCTGGCACAGAGCAACACCACAGGGACCTTAGCAGTCCTTTCTTTGGTATTAGTCTGGTGGTCTAAGTGTCTCTTCCTTTTTTTTTGAGACAGGGTTTCTCTGTGTAGCCCTGCCTGTCCTGGAACTCACTCTGTAGACCAGGCTGGCCTCGAACTCAGAAATCCACCTGCCTCTGCCTCCCAAGTGCTGGGATTAAAGGAGTACACCACCAATGCCCGGATAAGTGTCTCTTCTTTGAATTTCAGTGTCTTGTTTCACTTAAAAACAAAACACGACTGGGCATATAGTTCAGTGGTAAGCACTACAATGCTTACTGAATTTCGAACTCCAGCCCTGGAAAAACCCAAGGCTCTGCTCTGCCAAGGCCTCCTGGGCTTCTCTGCTCTTCCTGGGTTTCCAGACCGCCATACTGAATGAGGAACTACTCCTGGACCAGCCCTATGGTGTCCCCAGCCCCGCGCCAGCCTCCAGGCCTGATGGCCGCCACCGAGACTGCGAATAAGGGGATGTCGCCTCCCTGGCTATTCCCCGGTGCCCTAGCTGTTCTTCCGTCCCTGCGGCTCCTCTTCGAGGCCTGTCGCGAGCACTCCGCTGAGGCTAGCCCACCCCGCCGGGCCGTGGCACCTGGACAAGGCGCAGATGGTTGTCCGCCCACTGCGACACCCGCGTCACCACGTTGGCCTCCCCTCGGTCGCGGTCCGGTGCCTGCGACCCGAGGCTCGTGGGCGGCCGCGCCATGTTCCAGCGTCCACCGAGCCGTGCGGGCTCCCCCCGTGGGCGACAGGGGGCGCTGCGCTACGCTACGCTGCGCAGCTCGGGGTCCCCGCCCCTCCTTGGCGTCTGCACCCTCGTCTACGTGTGACCTCTGGCGGTACCATGCCAGCCAGGGCAGCACAACAACACTGACTCAAAACAACACAAAAAATGTCGTGAAATATTAAGAATTAGGGAATCTGTGTAAATATACACGATCCTCTTATTCTTGCTATTTTTCTATAAGCTTGTATTTTTATTGTTGTTGTTTTTGTTTATATTTTTGAGACAGGGTTTCTCTGTGTAGCCCTGGGTGTCCTGTAATTAGCTCCGCAGACCAGGCTAGCTCGAACTCAGGGATCCACCTGCCGTTTTTTATGGTCCTGGAGTGCAAACCCAGAATCTTCTACACTTTGGCCAGATTATCATTTGGGTTCCACCCTTTGCTTTTTTAGAAACAGGGTTTATGTAGCACAGGCTAACCTCAGCGTACTAACTTCAACCTCAGCTTCTCCCATACAGAGGCGACTGCTGTGTTCCAGTGTGCCTGGCTTTCTAAATATTTTTAATGCCAAGAATAATAAAGGAAAGAGAGATAGAGACTAAGTATTTTAATGCCAAGAATAATAAAGGGAAGAGAGATGGAGATATACTTATTTGTTAAGCTGAAGAAATGTGCGTTGTGTAATACATTTAACTTTGGTCCAAAGAGATCTGGCCTTTCCCATTGTGCTGGGTAATTCTAAAATATCTTATCTGATAAAATTATCTTTTACCCTGAGGCTTTTGAGCCTGTAAGAAAATCTAACATCCCGCTTATAGTGGAGGCTTTGAGTCTGACCTCAGCCCCAGGGGGGCTAGAGACTGATCTGCTAGTGCACCGTAAAAACTCTACACACAGGTGTAGGGGAGCACTCCTGGTCACACTGTTCCATGCATGTTCACACATGGTTGCTGAGAGAAGTCAGTGTTCATGACTTCATGAATAAACATGTTTTAAAAACCAATTACCACATCTGAGGGTGTCCTTGGACACCCCCAAACTCTGCAGTTGGTGTTAGAAGCATTAGAAGTCTTGGTACTATTATTTAATTCCGAATGGTTCATTATATTATCATCTCTATTTAGATGTAATGTTTAAAATGTAACATTGTGAATCAGTCTTTCCACACACAACAGTTTTATGAATGACAGTGGCATATCAAACTCACCTGTGAAGCCTATGTTATTACTTGCTTACATGACGTGCACACACAGGTACATGTGTCAAAAGGACCAGATAGGAAAGGAAGACATTACTCCTATACCGTTGTAAATGGACAACAGGAAAATAGTCCATTAAAGATTTGAAGTATCTAGTTGTGCTTTCGTATCTACAGGACTAAGTCATCATGGGTGAGTCCCTCTTGAGTTCCAAGAACTGCTCAGAAAGTTAGAAAACAAAGCTGACTAATCTCATCTCAAAAATACTGCAGTAAACTCTAACCTTAGCTTTAATTTCCAGCGGAACCCCTGTTATCTATCTGTACCTCAGGCCTTTTCAGCACATCTTGCTATCCTCTCTCCCCTCCCTTGGTCAGGGATCTGTCCCAAGACCTCTTGCTGCCTCTGCAGGCTTCTCCTACCACTCACCCAGACTTCCCCATTTCTTTACTTTCAATTTACTTACATTAAAACTCAAAATCTGACTTTTCAAAATACTTGTAAGGGCTGGAGAGATGGCTCAGCGGTTAAAAGTACTGACTACTCTGCCAGAGGTCCTAAGTTCAATTCCCAGGACCCGCACGGTGGCTCACAACCATCTGTAGTGGGATCCGATGCACTCTTCTAGTGTGTATCTGGAGACAGCTGCAATGTGCTCGTATAAATAAATAAATCTTTAAAAAAATAAACATACTTGTACAAATTTTAAATTATGGTCTCTGTGTGGACATGTGCTTGAGAGCAGACACATGTGGAGGTCAGGGGTTCCACCTGGGCTACAGGTAGCCACCTGATATGGGTGTTGGGAACTGATTTCTACCAGTGCAGCATGTATTTTTAACTACTTCACCTCCCCCAATTTTGATCTCTTCTTTATTGGGGACTGGACATTGCCACACAAACTATACATACACTAATGTCAGTTAAGGAAAAGGAGTTTATTGAACATGCACCATAATACTGGACGACTAGGACCACGAGAAGGAGAAACCTCATTGTGGCAGTAGTCTGTCCTCAGGGCAGGCTTTTTAAATGAGAAACCAGGTTCAAACATTTAAAGGGCAAGGAGAGGAGCAGTTGGCTCACTAGGCAAAGTATTATCAGCTAACCTTTAAGCTGATTGGTCCTGAGTAAAGGGGTTGGTGGATGGGTGATGAACAGGGGAATTTCAGAACACTGAGATAACAGAGCATGAACTTTACAATAATAACAATGTTTTTGGCTTGCTAGTAGCATTCTTCACTGTCAGCCACAAAAACCACAGTGAGCTCATATGTAGGTCCAGGAAGGGCTGCCCAGTAGTCAGCTCTGACTCAAGATATTTTAGAGATCACAGTTTATACTGACCTTCGATGTGATGGTCCTACGTAAAGCTTTGTGGAATTTCTTAAGATTAGCAAAGTTCATAAAGAACATTCAGAACATACAGAACGAAACAGGGTGTGTGGTCAGCATGTCCTTAAGCCAAGCCACTTCTCTGTGTCAATGGCTGGCAGGCATGTTACAGGAACAACATGAGATAGCTAGCAGGCATGGAGTAAAATGGTTACAGCTATTCTAGGAGGATCAAATCAAAACATTCTTTCCATTAACATTTTATTAAATTTTCTCATGCTTTCCAAATTTAAACGGTGATGTCTCTTCTAGTTAAAATTCATCACTGATAAGTAATTTGATTAGAAGTTCACCCTTGCAGCTAAAGATGTAGCTCAGTTGATAGAATGCTTTTGTAGCCATCCAAAGCCCTAGGTTCAGTCCTTGTGCATAAAACTAGTTATGTGTAATCCTGGCATGTGAGAAGGGGGAGTTCACTTTTAAGCGACTATTTTAAGTGCAGAATAAGGTTATACATCAAAGGATATAAACTGGGGAATGGTATATTGGTTTAAGAATGAGAGATGCAATACAAAGCTTGTCACTGTTTAGGAGCTAATTTAGATGGTGCCAAAGTGGCTGTGGTGTGGGACAGGTGAGCTGGTAATGGGAGAACAGCAGCAGCAGCTCGGTCCTTTCACACTGGGAGAGCAGCTGAAACTGACTCTGCTAGCAATCTGTCCTTAGAAAAATCACTTAAGTTGGGCATGATGTCGTACACCTTTAGTCCCAGCACTTGGGAGTCAGAGGAGTTTGAGGCCAGTCTGGTCTACAACAGAGTTTCAGGACAGCCAAGGCTATATAAAGAAACCCTGTCTTGAAAAACAAAAAACAAAAGCAAGCAAGCAAGCAAGCAAACAAACAAACACTTACCTTCTCCTGTGCTTGATTTTTTGTGTAAAACAGGAATTACTAGACACCTACCTTTTACAATCATGGATCCTCTTGACTCATTTATATGAGAATTTTTGAATGGTATCTTGAATAAAGTACTAAGTTTTGGCTGCTAGAGCACTCCAGGAACCTGTAGTGATGGCTGCAGTGAACAGGTGTAGTGCTCAAAGGCGAAGTCTTTGTTTTCTTCTATTTAACTTTGTGTAGTGCTGGGGCCAAGCTAGCAATTGAAAGTTGTTAATCTTTTATAATTTTTTTTTATTTTTATATATAATGGTGCTTTTTCTACATGTATAAATGTGTGCACCAAATGCATGCAGTGCCCAGAAGAGAGCAACACATGTCCTGGGACTGGAGTCACAGAGGACTGTGAACCACCACATGGACGATGTGATGAAACCCAAGTCCCCTGGATGAGCAGCCAGTGCTCTTGACTGCTCACCCATCCCTCCAGCTCCCACTGCTGATTTTAAAGGAGAAGTACCCATAGGGTATGACCTTTAGTTTAACTAGAGCACACAGCTCTTCTTCAGCCTGGGATTGTCTCATTGCAGGTAATAGGCAGAATGATGATGGGCAGGCCTTGTTGAGGTATTTGGCTTAGATAATGGAGAAGAATAATTTCAGCAGTCAGGACTCACCATTTGTCCTAAAGAAAGTGGTTTTCATTTTCTGATTACACTTTACAGGAAATCTACACACTTGTGATGAGGAATAAAAGACAGAAGAGCTTAGGGAAAGGATGAAGCAGCAGAGGGCTGTTGTGTAGCTCTAGACTTGAGAGACAGTTAGCAAAACTTCCTTGATACTGACCATGAAGAATTAACAACTTTTAATTCTGTTTTTTAAACTAAAAGACAAAATAGTGAAGTTGATCAATTAATTTTTTTATAATGATAAAATATTGAAATATACTATCTTCCTAGGGCTGGATATTTGGCTCAGGGGTTTAGAGCACTTGCTGCTCTTACAGAGGACAGGGTTCAATACTGAGAACCAACATGGCAGCTCACACCTCTCTTTAACGCCAGGCCAAGGGGATCAAATAACCTCTTTTAGCCTTCCTGGACACCAGGCATACACATAGTGCATGTAGATACATGGAGGCAAAACACTTATAAACACAAAAGAATAAAATAATAAAAAAATAAACATATATACTATATTCTTTATTTTTCTGTCTCTAGGAGTTTACCCTACACACTGCCCCCTTTCTCCTTTACACCCTATGCCCTTATTTCCCTGACTCACTAAATTTAAGCCAATATTCAGTTTCAACTGCTTAGAAAAACCACTTGTGTAGGAACAGTTCCTAGCCACACTCATATAGCTGTTGTCTTGTTTCCTAGAGGTAACAAATCCCTTATAACTCATCTTCACAGTTTCTGGACTCTTGTTTTCCTTTTCCTTTTCTAAAGCTACCATGATAGATTATTCCTTGGCTGCTATTCTCTTTTAGAGCTTGTAGTGGTACATGCCTGTAATCTCAGCACTTGAGAGATGGAGGCAGGAGG